AACAACTCTGTCTTGCAGGCCCTGCGGAAAGATGTCAGGTCCCGCAGGGCCCTAGTCTCTTGTGACAGAGCATTCCACCAGATTGGAGCCGCCGCCGAGAAGGCCCTGGCTCTAGTTGATCAGAAGCTAGAAGGAGCTGCTCCAGCCCGTTGAACGGTAATGCCCTCTTCTCAGCCTGCCCCAGACCCTCTGGTGGTGTGGCTCAAGAGCATGTTGCGTGGCCTGAAGGCACATGGAGCAGCTGCCTTTCTGAAGCTCAGCACCCCCTTGTGTGCTGCCCTGAGCTCCATCCTCGAACGAAGGCAAGGGCAGAAATGCAATGCTGTTGCTCTCCCAACTCTTTTCTCCACAGTGTGGCTCGGCATTATGTTCCCTGTTCTGGGAATCAAATCTCTCTCCCCCTACGCCATTGCCTACCTGGATCGGCTGCTGTTGTGAGTTGCCATGTCCTTGTTTGTTTGTTTATTCAGCATGGTTCCAAGCCCCCCCCGCCCCCCCCTGTGCTATTTGACATCTCTCTGAAGCCTCTGGGAGCTGTCATAGGGAGATTTGGAGCAAAGTGTCCTCAATATGCAGATAGCACTCAGCTCTATCTCTCGGTTCCATCAGAATCAGGAGAGGCAGTTAAGGAGTCAGAGCAGTGCTTGGAGGTTCAGATGGGTTGGGTGTGGGCCAGTAAACTGCTGCTGGATCCCAAAAGGCAGCTGTGCTGCATGCCCTGGGTTCTCATGTCTGGAAGGCGGCCTGTCCTGGCCATGGTTGCACTCCTCTGGAAGGGGCAGCTCCTGGGTTCAACAGCAAGAGGAAGTCAGCCAGGGATGGTGGGCACAAACAGGGCAAGTTTGGTTTTCCTGCAGTATAGCCCTTCGAGGTAGGCCTGTGGAGGCCCTTGTTCCAGCACGGGGAGCGGAGGCAGAGTTTGTAATGAAGTGGGAGTGGCTTTCCCCAGCTGACAGGCATTGCTTTTTCCTTGGCAGGATGCATCCCAACTTGACCAAAGGCTTTGGTATGATAGGACCCAAAGACTTCTTCCCTCTCATGGACTTTGCCTTCATGCCCAACAACTCTCTATCCCCCAGGTAGGACACCTAAAGGGAGACCGGCCCACAGTGCGTGTAGGGGAAGAGTAAGAGCCCCGCCCCATTCCTGGGGAGACTGGGGGGGGGTCGTGCCTACTTTGGTGTCTCTGTTTGCACCGAAACACTGTGGTGGAGCCCCCCCCCCCAGCAGAAGGGCATCTCCTTCCTTCCTGGGCATTTATTTATTTTTACTTGAAATTGCTTTTCAATTGCTTTGAGATGTTTCCTAGGAAGCAGTTCATACATGAAGTAAATAACAGGGAGATACAGAAAAGCCTTTCTGCAGGCTGCCTCACATCTGAGCAAGTTTCCTTTCCTAACCTAAACCCTTGGTAGTTTAGGCAGCATTTTAAAAACCCTGCTGTTGGCATAGAATTCAACTGGTGTTATGGTTAGAGTTCAGTTTTGATACTTTAATAGCTTTCAAATTGACGCTTCTAGTTTACACAACAGGTTACTGAACTGGCTCAAGCCAAATTTAAAATAAAATGTTGAACTCAGGCCCCCAACAGTAACTGTACAACCTGTGCATTTCTTCCAAAGGATGCAAATGTATTCGCTGTATAGTTTAGGACAGTATTAACAGATACAACTATTTATATAAAATCCAGGCACATGTAAAAAACAGCAGTTCGTATGCAGCAAACGTTCTTTCTCCCCAGCCTGCAGGAGCAGCTGCGCCAGTTGTATCCCCGCCTGAAAGTCCTGGCCTTTGGGGCTAAGCCTGAGACCACGCTGCACACCTACTTCCCTTCCTTCCTCTCCAGAGCCCTGCCCAGCTGCCCCCTTGATATGCAGAAAGAGGTGAGGAGGGGGCAGAAGGGGGGGTGGCCTTCCTCGAGCATCTAGTGGGGCTGCCACATTTAGACAACAACTGAGCTAGACTGAGGAGTTTAAAACCTCTGGATGAAAAGGTTCCCCCATTTTGTTGAGTCGGAGGATCTATTTTGGGTGTTAATTCCCCCCAGTGCCAAACCCATGGGCGGCAGTTCTTCTGATAAACTGGGTCTCTCCCTCTCCCTCTCTCTCTCTCTCTCTCTCTGAAATAGGAGGGGGTGTCTGCTGGCCCTCCTTGGGAGGCTCAGCCCCAGGGTTTTCCTGGCTCTTCTCTCTTCCAGTCCCCTTTCTCTCCCCCTTGCTGGGCTGCCAAAAGAATAGGATGGAAGGAGGGGGTGTGCGTTGGAATCCAGGCAAACTGGAAAGGTGCAGGACCCTCCCTCAGCCCCCGAGAGACTGGAATGCAAGCAAACTAGTTTTGTTTGTAGCTAATGTGGCAACCTTGAATTTCCCATCTCTTCTGGAGGAATTAAATGTCCTATTAATGATCTAAAAACAAGGAAAACATGTTTTAGCTTGGGAACCATGGCTATTGTTTAGGTCAAATTTTTGCAGATATAATTGATTGGCATCCATGCGGTTGACTACAGCTGCTTTTAACAGGGCCACAGTATCATTGAATCAGAGCCCAGGGCAGTTCAAGGCAGGTGCTTACGACTTGGCGTTAGGTGCATTGCCGACTCTGGCTGTGTCTTGGGCAGACAGAGGTGCCAGGGATGGAAGCTGGAGCATTTTGTGTGCTATGCAGGTGCGAGCGATGAATGGCTCCCTCCCTCTCCCTCTGCTGCAGAGACAGGTGTGCAGCAGCCAAATGATGCTTTCAGATAGACACACATACGCATACACACTCTGTGACACCCAACCCCACTGCTTTGAACTATAGCCTCCTTTCTCTCTGTCTGGAACCGTTAGATGGGGAGGAACCTCTTTGGGCCTCCTAATGCAGCACTGAGAGCCAGAATAGGAAGGAGGGCTCACCCCAAAGGCAGTTCCAGAAAGAGGGGAGGCTGTAGGGAAGGCACCCCTTCCTGACCCCAATTGGGATCAATAAGTGGGGCACAAGGAATGTCATAAATCTGCCTCAGTATCTTGAAGTCTTCAGTCCTGTGGCTGCTGCTGTTTGGCCATTAGACTCCTGGGACCAATTCTGCTTTTGTCCTGTACAGCTGCTCAACTGCCTGGCCGAAGGCCTCCGCCTGGATCCCCTCAGCTTCAATGTCTGGAGGCAGCTGTACATCAAACACCTCCCACAGTCAAGGTGAGACTCGGCAGGGATGCTTCCCCACTGCATGCCCTGCTTGATGGTTTGGAAACCTGCAGGATACCAATCCTGCTTACAATCGTGGTGGTTGAATGTCCGCTTGAACTTTTTGGAAAGGCTGTGCTTCGAGCCCTCGTGGTGAAATGACGCAAAGTCCATCAGGGAGTGGAGGAGCCTCCCCTGTTTTGCAGGGAGAGCAGTGGGGTGTCTCTCTTTGGGAAGGTGCATGCAACAGTGAGCCAGTGTGGTGTAGTGGTTAAGAGCGGTGGACTCGTAATCTGGGGAACCGGGTTCGCGTCTCCGCTCCTCCACCTGCAGCTGCTGGGTGGCCTTGGGCCAGTCACACTTCTCTGAAGTCTCTCAGCCCCACTCACCTCACAGAGGAAGGGAAAAGGAGAATGTGAGCCGCTTTGAGACTCCTTAAAGGGTAGTGATAAAGCGGGATATCAAATCCAAACTCAAAAAACAGGCCAGGCTCTGCAGAGATCTCTGAGCTGATGCCTTTGCTTTGTTTTCCCAGCCTGCTCCTGAATCACTTTGTGCAGACCTGGGACAGCACTTCCAAAAAGGTTTGTGGCTCCTGCTCTTTGGACTGCCTCTTGCTTGAAGCAGTAGTTTGTACGCTAGGGACAGACAACACGGATGAATTAATGGCCTCCCTGCCCGTCTGGTCCAGGCCAAAGCAGGCCAGTGCTAGGCAGCAGTCCATCCCCAAAGGCTGCTCCATTGCTAAGGTTCAGTCGTTCCAGCTCAGCACAACTTGTGCTCCCTGCTAGTTCTGTCTGCTTCTGAACTTTGCTATTCCCCATGAGCTGCATGGACAGGATGAGTTTGAACTCTGAAAGGGATCCTGCTGCTGCCCACATTCTCCATAGTTTGCATCGGGTTCAGAGCAGGGCCTGGGAGGTGTCCATCTGGCTTGCGTGGGGCTCAAGCAGGGGGGATTGGATTTAAATCAAATCAGTTTAAATCGCTAGTCAGTAAGGCTTGATTTAATTTTTATTTTTTTTTACTGAAAGACGACTCCTTGCTGGTATACTCTTAATATCTACAACCAGATGAAGGTTTCATTTTTGGAATAATAAATTTTCAGAGTAGTTTTTGCAATTCTATCAAAAATTACTGATTTGGTTATACTGTTAGAAATACATAGATAATTATGAAATTATTGTGAGGTTTAATAAGTTAACTGTTTATATTTGGACAACTTTTCTGCTGTACTTTATTGGAAGGAGAAAAACAATCATTTCCTTAATAACAATTTAAACCATTTATTTAACTAAAACAATAACATTATAGCATATGTATCCATGTTTGTTAACTGATGTGGTTAAACAATTATTATTTTTTGAAGAAAACTTAGACTGACTGAGTTTTAGTACACATGAAAAACTTAAAACAAATCCTTTGAATAGCCTTTGGACTAAAATGTAACTTAAATAGAAAACTATCTTTAAAAAGATTTTTCCTCCAAAAGCATTTTATTTTAAAAATCTGATTTAAATTAAAAAAAAACGCTTTTAAAAGAAAACATTGATTTTTGTCCACCCTGGGCTCAAGGGTGGGGTGCAGAGAGGCAAGGCCCCTGAGGGGAGTGGGGAGGGCAGCAGAGCACCTGGCTGTCTGGCCCTTCTGCCCCCCCCCCATTCCTGCAGCTTCTGTTGGGTTGCAACCATCCCGGTGTGGTCCAAGGCTCACCTGTGGCTTTGTGGCGGTGTTTGTGGACCGTTTCTCTTCCAGGTGCGGAAATCTTTACAGGAAACAGTTCATTCGTTCAAAGTCACAAACGAGGAACTGACCATGAAAGGACCAAACAGCGAACAGGATGTTGCAGCTTGCAGAGCTGCCTGCAAGGTATTGTTATTATTTATTCAATTTGTATACCTCCATCTGTAGATCTCAGAGCTGTTCACAACATAAAATTATAGTATAAAAACACAAAATACACCATAAAAACAGGAACAAAAACAAACCCCAAATCTCTCCTCCCACAACACATTTCAAAGGGTGTCGGGTGTTTTTGCCTGGTGTATAATGAAGGCACCAGCTGAACGTCCCTGGGGAGAGCATTCCACAAATGGGAAGCCACCGCAGAAAAGGCCCTTTCTTGTGCTGCTGCCCTCTGGACTTTCCTTGAAGAAATTACACAAAGAAGGGCCTCGCAGGATGATCTCAGGATCCGGCTTGGTTCATATGCAGAGAGGCGGTCCTTGAGGTATTGCTATCCTGAGCCTTTTAAGACTTTATACGTCAAAACCAGCACTTTGAATTGGCAGCCAGTGCAGTCGGACCAGGATCAATGTAATATGCTCAAACCGTCTTGCCCCGGTGAGCAACCAGGCTGCCCAATTTTGCACTAGCTGAAGTTGCAGAACCGTCTTCAGAGGCAGCCCAACGTAGAACGTATTGCAGTAATCTAACCTTGAGGTTGCCAGAGCATAGACAACAGGAGTTAGCTGATCCCTGTCCAGACAGGGGCGTAGTTGGGCCACCAGCCGAAGCTGATGGAAGGCACTCTGGGCCACGGAGGCCACCTGAGCCTCGAGCGACAGCAAAGGATCCAGAATAATCTCCATCCTTGGGGATGGGTGGGTGGGGGACCCGGTGGGCTAGCCATCTGCATCCCGGAGATTCTCCTACCTGTCTCCTCTCTTTGTGTTTCCCCTTCAGAACCTGCTGCTGAAGATGAAAGCCAGTGGCCTTCCTTGGGCTCGGCTGCTGCTGGTTGCCTTGGTATTCACTGCGGGGTTCCTAATGCATGACATCAGGACTCATGGCTCCTTTGAAGGTGAGGCTCTGCCCCTGGAGGAAAGGGAGGTGTTGCGTTCCAAGGGCAAGGAAAGATTGGACCCTGGTTAATAAAATACACACGAGGCTTGGCCAGCAAGACTCTGGGGGGCAGTGCCAATAATCCTCTGTCACATCCTGGCCCAGGTCCCTTTAATAACAAAAGAACTTTTAGCACAGCGCTTGTAAGAACCAATCAGATGTCCTCTGAGCATTTCAAAAACATCCCCACGTGGGATAAAGTCAGATCAGAGAAATCCTTGTAACTACAAAGAAACTATTTCCTACTTGAGCATGCATACATAGTTCAGAGTAAATAAAATAGGAATCAAGGAGGAATGCTTTTGGGAAACTCCAAAGGTCATAAACAACAGTAAACAGGAAAGGAAGGACAGGTAGTATTTACCATCTCCAACTTCCTGGCCCTAAGATCTACCTAAAGATTAACAAACTACATCAAAGTTACATCACAGCTACCTTCTACCTTTATGGCTCAGGAGGCCTGGTGAAGCAACCAGTCTGTGTTTAGAATGCTTATACGTGCCTGTCAGGCAGAGAAAATGAACAGTAGAGAAAATGGGCAGAGATGCAGAGGCTTATGGGATTTAATCAGAAATTATTGTCAATGAATCAAGCCCAGTCAAAGCAATGCTTTCATCGCTGACACAATGTCAGCAGCCCACTCAGGGGAGCATGTTGTGTTTTCCAGCTTCTGCCTCGGCTCAGGTGCTCCGCTCTTCTGGCATCCTCTCTGCATCTCAGCAAGCCTGGAGCAGAGTTTCCCACTTCTCTGGGGAAGGGTACAGGTCAGTGGTTTGCGCTGGTGCTCCTTCGGCAGGGAGGCCCCCTCCCTTCAAGGGGGACCAGCGCAGAAGAGCGCTTTCCCTCTGGGCGGCCCTTGGGAGGGAGCCTGTTGCCAGGGTCTCATCCTGCTGCCGCCCCTTGTTCCTTGCAGCTGGCTGGAAGCAAACATGCCTCTCTACTACTCTCGCGTGGCCACCGTGCTGGGACCCAACCTGGAGCTGGTGTGGGCAAAGACAAACGAAACGGCCGCCTACATCTCTGGGAAGTGCTCAGCTCAACTCACCTGGCTCAGTGACAACCTCCCCAGGTTCATCGAATGGGTAAGGGTGGGGCTCGCCGGAGGCAGGGAAGGCGAGATGGGTTGGGGTGTCAAAGGAGAGAGGCGGGCATCAGCGGAGAGGGTTGTTGAAGGTGGTAGTGAGATGCAAGCCCTGACAGTGGACTTCCCAAAAGAGGCATCTGATCATTGCCTCCTCTTAAGGGGGTCAGCAGCAGACGAGGCAAGGCAGAGTTCTGTGCCGAGAATGAGCCAGGCAGATGGTTGCCCCACTTTCAGAGCCAGGCTGTGAACTGTCAAGCGATGTCTTTGTTTTGGGCTGGTTTTAACCTCTCTAGGCCATCAACCATTTATCTGCTAAGCTGGAGGGTGGGAAAGCCAATTCACTGGCAAGCACCCTCTGCATCGGCCCATTCACCTGGGTCCATAGGCCCCAGTTCTGCGTATGTGGGCAGTGCCGCTGAGGAAATACAGCTGCAGAGGTATCCGCCACTCCATTGAGTAGCAAGAACGGGCAGAAGCTGTGAGGAGGTGGCGGCAGTGGCAGCTGAAGGCCCTTGACCTGAGCTCCCTTTGCAGAGAAGCCAAATATTGCTCCCAGTATTTTCAGGGTCTGTCCGCCTGCCTGCCTGCCTTTCTCTTTCCCACCCCATCCCTGGGTCCTTTTTCCCTGTAAGTTCCTTAAGGGGATCTGGACCTGTGCTTATGGTTCCCCATCTGCTGGTGGCCACCCTGTCCTCTTTGGCATATGAATCAAAAGGAACTGTGGCCTGTCCCTAATTGAGGAACAGGGATCTGGGCCCTGCCCGCCTTCTAGCTAGGAGTGTTCCAGTTTCTAGGGTGTGTCTGGCCAGCCACAGATTCTCTGCCTAGCAAGGGCAGGGCTGGCACTTGAGCCTGGCTGAGCCGCCTCCTCTTCCCTGCCAGCTCCAGACCCGGGTTCCAGATTCTGTGCTGCAGGGGGCGGAATACCTCAAGGAGCTGCTGCTCTTCCTCATGCGGAACTACTTCCTGCCTGCTGTGGACTACGTTACTGGGTCGCTGGAGGGGGCCTGGAAACTCTGGGTGGCTTCCTGCAAGTGAGTATGGTCTGCACACAGAATCCTTGGTGCCACACAAAGCAGGCAGCAGGGGCTGCTTGACTGCGGAAGAGAAGTAGGAATAGAAGAGCACTGAATGGGGAGGGGGAACCCACTTCAGGTTCCGGGTGGGGGGCATCCAAACTGCTTGGAGACAAAACAAGGCATGTCCCAAAGTAATCCAGGAGGCCTCGAAGCATGCATGCTCACCCTCTGCTCTCTCCTCCAGTGGCGAAGGGTCCTGGGAGTGCTTGCGGAAACATGTGACCAGCCTCAGCCATTCCTCTTGGACGTACCTGCAAGACACCACCGTGGCCATCAGAGACTGGGCTCTGGCCATTGTCTCCGGGCACTAGTCGAGGCCCAGGGCTCAGGAGCTGGGCGTGAGGTCTGGGTCACTGCTCTCCCATTGCTGCTGGCAGCAGGATGTGCCAACTCACTGTTCCGTGGGCAGACCACAAAGCGAGGGGCAGCCTCCACCTCTGACTTGCCGCTGAAGCCCAGGTCTGCCCAGCAGGCCGGAAGCCTCCCAGCTCCCCACCCACTGTGCGGTCGTTCTTTGTCTCCACTCCAGCCTTGCTGAAAAAAGCCAGTTGTCTGCTGTCCGTTTGATGGACTGCACCGGGCGGGAGGCAGCAGTGCACACCCAGGAAGCGGCCCCTCCACCCGTCGGTGGGCAAGCACTTTCTGTATCCTACGTTCAGTGCTGTTACCCCAAATAAATAGGTTGCTGGGGCAGTGACCCCCTTCCCTATCCCTCTGTGCATGGAGCGCCTGCTGCTGCTGCTGCTGCCCTCAGCCTTTTCTCTGCGGCTCCTCCAACTGCCCCTGGCAGCTCCAGCCAGTCTCAAGGGCTGGTGCCTGCCTGGGACCCACCTTGCCAGTCTCCCACCCAGCACCCTGTGGCCTGAGCAGAGGCTCTGGGGGCATTTCCCCGAGCCGTTAAGCTGCCCCCTTCTCTCAGGTGACTGTGAGTCTTTGCCTTCCCCCAAAGAGCTGCCTTTGCCTTATCGTGGACCCAGGAGGGGAGAGCTCATATTATGCAGCAGGGAGCGCTCAGAGAGGAGGAACAGGGCGGAGGGGAGAGAGGGCTGGTCAGCTAGGCTGGTAGATCCCTCTCAAGGAAGGGCTGCCACTCCTCTTGCAAGTTCCATAAAGAAGAACTGTGCCACCTCCTGGCTTGAAGGAAAACTAGCTAAGTTGGGGTCTCTCTTTCGCCTTCTGTAATGCCCACTCCTTGGTCTCTTCCCAGGGCCTGTGTGTGGCCTTGAAGTCTGTGTTGTGACCCTGTTCCCAGCATGCCCTGAATACCTTGAGTTGGCCTCCTCTCTCCCAGCCAGGCATAAGGACGAGCCCTTATTTGGGAGGGCACAGTGGGAAATAGTGGGTCAGAAGCAGCAGCTCCTGCTCACCAGGTGCTGCGTCAGTTGCCAGACCCATGTGGGGACTTTGGGGCTGGCTGCTTTGCCCCAATTACATTTCTCTCCTTGGTGCAGCCAGACTTCCAGAGGTGATGGGACCCTGTCATGACAATGGTGTGCGGCTTTTGTCATGTGCAATAAAGGAAATATCTTTGGTTACATGCTGTGCTTCGATGATTTCTCTTTGCTGTGAGACCTTTTTTGCTGGGCTTGGCCCCAGTTCTTTAATATTAAACATATTTATAAGTTGCTTTTTAGGGCAAAGCCTAGTATTTGGGGGGGGGGGAATGACTGAGCATCATGGCCAGTGGTTGAGGCAGTGGGAGATCCAGTCTAATGACTGGTGGGGAATGGGGGTTCTCCCCCACACTCCTGTTTCTTGTCCCTGTGGAATTGGGTCTATAGAGAAGCAGGAAGAAAGCCATCAGCTGCTTCCCTGAAAACAAGCTGCCTCCCTCGTCATCTATCCCATGCTGGGGGCAGCGGGGTCCAAAGGAAGCTGATGATGCTGTTACGGCTAAAATCTGGGTGCGGGGCTACTCTGCCACCTAGCTCGTCGGACTAAGTCTGCGGGTCCCTGTGGAAGAAAATGAGCTCAGCTGGAGACAGGAGCAAGCTGCAGAAGATCCAAGTTTATTGCTCGCTGAGCCAGCTCTGCAAAGCGAATGCATGGTTCTGATTGGGTAGAACGCAGCCATTGAAAGGAATAGGGAATACAGCTTTGTACGGTCAACCCACAGTAAAGATAGAGCGGGAAAGAGGCATAAGAATTTGGGCTTATTTCGCCCGTAATAGCGGATCGGTGTAGGAAAGGCACTTTATTTATGGGGCTTGGGGTAGAGTGTGGTGCTTGTGTAACGGTGTGGGGGCTTCTCTGGTCCACTTTTGTTCACTGTTTAACAAATCTCTGCTCTAAACTCTTTGATTTGCTCATCAAACAATTGCTGAAGAATGCCAATAGTCAATGGAATGTCTGATGATGTATTGGCCATACTGAATATTCCTGGTCTTATTAACAATTCAGTCTGCACCTTAAGATCTTTACAACTTTATCTTTTATCAAACCACATTCCTTTTATACAGATGAAATGTGACATAGAAAAATTATGTTCAGTTCAAAGGCAACACTTTTGTTGGGAAAACAGAATGAAAAAATAAAGATGCTTGGCATTCAGAACTTCCTTGATTGCTTAAAACTTTAATGGTTGAAACAATTAGAACGTGCATTTTGTTGCCCCACCCCAGATGTAAAATTCAACCAGCAGACACAGAAACCTCTCAGTGATAAATTATAACCGTCTCTAAAATAGCTGGAGAAAGGCTTTTGCAGATCCAATCCCCAATAGAGCTCTTACAGGGCAAGCCTTTGATTCCTCCTCTCTTAAAGCACCTGCCCCCCCCCCAAGAACTGACAAGTTTCTCAGTCTCCTGATGTAGAAATGACCTTCACAAAGCATCAGAGTTTGATCCCATGAGCTCCTCCTCCTCTCCAGAGCAAATGTAAAAACCAAAATTTATACCTCAGGTCTGATCCGTTTCCCTGTAAATCTCTCCCCTGACAACCTGCTAATGGAAGACATTCCATCGGCGGGCCACGTTCTTCCCAAGGCAGCCTGAAGCAACTTTTGCTGAGGCCGTGAATGCAACTCCTTTCCCGCCCCATTCTCCCCTCCGCTCCTCCCGGGCTGGACTGAGACGCCGCCTGCTGCCCCGGCCCTTTATAACCTCGGCAGGCACCTTAGCCCCGCCCACCCGCCCAGTCACGTGCCCCGCTCCCCCGACGCCGCCTCCCCCCGCGCGGTTCCCCTGGCGACCAAACAGCTCCCCGGAAGGCGGGGCGCGGCCAGCCAATGGCGCGGGGCGTTGCTATGGAGAGGGCGGGCGGGCCAATGGCGCGCCGGGGGGGTGGCGGGCGCGAGGCGCGGCCAATGCGCGGCGGCCTTCTTGTTGCCTGGCAGCGGGCGAAGGAAGGGCTGGCCTGGCCCGGGGCCCCTGGCAGCGGAGGCGGCGGCGGCGGCGGGCTGAGGCGGCTGAGGCAGGTCGGTCGGAGGGAAGCCGCGGGGCGGGCCGGGGCCGCATGCAAATGAGGGTCGTGACGGGGAGCGCCGGGCTCGGGGCCCCGCCCCCCCGCCGTGGGAGGAGGAGGAGGAGGAGGGGGCGGGCAGAGGGGCGGCAGCGGAGCCCAGCCCCCTCGGGATGAGGCCCCCCCGCTCGCCCGACCCACCGTGCCCCCCTCGCCCCCCGTGAAGGCGCCAGGAAAGTGCAGGCAGACGGGTAGACTGCCCCGGGGCAGGGAGGCTCCGCTCTCGCCTGGGCTTCCCAGGACCCAAAGGAAGCTCCCGGCTGCCTCCCCCCACAGCTTCGTTGCCCCCCCCCCCAGTTACATAGCTGTCAACCTTCCCTTTTTTGGGGGGAAGTTCCCTTATTCCAGCGCTGCTTCCCGCTGGTATCCCAGATTGTTAGATCTCCCATCGACTGTCCCTGGGACAGGGGAGGCTGCTGATCCCTCATTTTCAAATCTGACAGTGGACAGCTATGACAGGATCCTGGGCCGGATGGGTCCCCTTTGGCGCAATGCAGCTGCCTCAGGGCTCTTCTTGGTTTCTGAGGAGTCCTGCACGGAGCCTCCAGGGCCAGAGCCAGTCTACCTTAGAGTGGCAGAGCACAAGGCAGGGAGGAAGATGCTCTCCTCCTGCTTGGGGGCGCAGGGTCCTGGGCCGGATGGGTCCCCTTTGGCTCCATGCACCTGCCTTGGGGCTCTTCCTGCACGGAGCCTCCAGGGCCAGAGCCAGTCTACCTTAGAGGGCCAAAGGCGCTCTCCTCCTGCTTGGGGCGCCTGGGTGCCACTGTGGGCGCAGGATCCTGGGCCGGGGGGGGTCCCCTTGGCGCGATGCACCTTCCTCAGGGCTCTTCCTGGTTTCTGAGGAGTCCTGCATGGAGCCTCCAGGGCCAGAGCCAGTCTACCTTAGACGGCCAAAGGCGCTCTCCTCCTGCTTGGGGCGCCTGGGTGCCACTGTGGGCGCAGGATCCTGGGCCGGATGGGTCCCCCTTGGCTCCATGCAGCTGCCTTGGGGCTCTTCCTGCACGGAGCCTCCAGGGCCAGATCCCGTCTCCCTTAGAGTGGGTAAAGGTGCTCTCCTCATGCTTGGAGGTGCCTGGGTGCCACTGTGGGCGCAGGATCCATAGCTGTCAACCTTCCCTTTTTTTGCGGGAAATTCCCTTATTCCAGCGCTGCTTCCCGCTGGTATCCCAGATTGTTAGATCTCCCATAGACTGTCCCTGGGACAGGGGAGGCTGCGGATCCCTTCTTTTCAAATCTGAAAGTGGACAGCTATGCCCAGTTATGATGTCAAGGGGAGAGGGATCCCCATCCTCCTCCCCCCCGCCTAGTTCCACGCCCCTTTCACCGGCTCTCCTCTTCCTCTCCCCATCCTAGGGGGGGGGGGGAAACAGCAAGAAAAGCTCCAAGCGCTGCCGCCTTCTCTCGCGGGAGAGTTTCTCCATCCCGCCAATCCATTTCCGTTGCCCTTTTCTGAAACTTTTCCAGCCCCGCAGTGTTCTGCTTAAAAGGCACAGTGACCCGAACTGTGTGTTGTGTTTGCTGCATCCTTTTGGCCCCATGGATTTGTTATACTGGCAGGTTTCTTTCCAGCCTCCTTCCTATTCCTGGTGATCTTTTTTTTCACGGTTGCTGCAAACCAGGCTGATGTTTTTTCACTTTGTTGTCCCAACTTAAGCCTGTTCCCTGATTAGCTGTGGCAAATTCTGGCGCTTTCAGTATATATTGCCCCAAGGTGCATCATAGGAATCATAGACTGTAGAGTTGCAAGGGACCCTCATGATCATCTAGTCCAACCCGCCTCAGTTTCATAGTTCCTTGCATTGAGCTGGATTTGCCCGTTTTGTGGCCCATCTAGCCAGTGTCGAAAGATCCTCCTGGAGCTCTGCAGCCTGCTTTGGTTTTCACCACCTTGAAAAGTTGTGTGCCATCCACAAACTGTACTACCTCACTGCTCACTCATAACTGGGTAAAAAGCACAGTTCCCAGCTTGGATCCTGGGGGGTAGAGAGAGAACACCTCATACTCTGCTTCCTTCTACTTCCACATAGTGCTGGCTGTGCCAGTTTCTCATCTCTGTGGCTGAGTGGAATGGCCTCTTGCAGGACAGGACCAGCCCTTCTCCATGGAGAGAGGTTCGCAATGATGCTGGTGGCTGCTCAAGGTTCCTATTGCTGCCTCTGCCCCCCCCCCAACACTAGGTGCCTGGCAGACCCTGCTTCCCCATGACATGTTGTCCCCGGGGTGCTGCCAGCCAAGCAGCCAGACCTGTGCCACTCCAGGGTCTCCTCCTCGGAAACACCAGCTGAGCCTTGTGGCTGGGCAGCCTTCTTGTCTTCCTGTTGGCAGGCAGGGTGCCCCCTTGAGGACCTGCTTTCCTTCCTAAGCCGAGCCTGGAGCTCTCTGTCAACGCTGGAGGGGGCCAGAGAGTAAGAGGAGCCGGTGGCCCTGACGGTGATGCTGGTGATGATGATGATAGTTGTGGTGATGATGGCACAATGGGCCTCCTGCAAGAAGTCTCCCTATTGGCATGCCATTTTCATTCTGGCCCAGTCCTGGAGACCAGTGGGGAGGGAGAGGGGAAAGGGGGCGATGGAGGCTGCCCAGCTGCTCAAATAGTCCCCAACATCAAAGAATCGGACTTCTTTCCCTGGGTGATGTCCTGTATCTAGGTGCTGCTGGACAAAGAGGTTGCTTTGGTAAGCCTGCTCCCCACAGCAGGTAAATGACCAAGGGTATGTGTTTATGCTTTTGTATTCTGGAGTGTGTAGTGGTGTGTCCCCCCAGTTTTTTGGGGGGGTTGCAACACCTCCCTTGTTGTGGTTAGGAAGGCCTTCAAGGGAATTGTCTTTTGCAGTACTTGGAGTGTGCCAGAAAAACATCTCAGGTGGTGGGAGAAGAAGGAAAGAGAAGAGAAGATGAGTTTCGTGATCGGCAAGGCCAGAAATAGACTTGTGGGGTTTTCCCCTTAGACTGTGGGCTTCCTCTCCTAGCAGCCTTCTTTCAGCCTTGAGAGCCAGTGTGGTGTAGTGGTTAAGAGCGGTAGTCTCGTAATCTGGGGAGTAATCTGGGGAACCGGGTTCGCTTCCCCGCTCCTCCACATGCAGCTGCTGGGTGACCTTGGGCTAGTCACACTTCTCTGAAGTCTCTCAGCCCCACTCACCTCACAGAGTGTTTGTTGTGGGGGAGGAAGGGAAAGGAGATTGTTGGCCGCTTTGAGACTCCTGAAGGGGAGTGAAAGGCGGGATATCAAATCCAAACTCTTCTTCTTCTTCACTAGCAGGACAAGGAAACTGGATTCATTCTGCAGCAACGAGGTGAGGAATTGTGCGTACCAAGTTCAGCTCTTCCCTTCTTCCCTGTAGGAAATCCTCAGAACCACCTGTTGCAAAGAGGAGAATGAGCCCCCTCTGCTGCCGGCGAGGTGACGATGGAGGTGCGCTGCGGTGGCCTCTTGTTCAGCTCCAAGTTTGACTCGGGGAACTTGGCTCATGTGGAGAAGGTGGAGCACCTGGAGGGCGATGGGGACGGTGCCGGGAATGGCGGCAGCGGCAGCAGCAGCACCTCTGCTACCTCCATGGTGTTTGGCACCTCCCTCCCCATTGCTGACTACGAGTTCAATGTGTGGACCAAGCCGGATTGCGGAGACACAGAATACGAGAATGCAAACAGGTAAAGGAGGTACCAGCCCTCTGTGAGGTCTTGCTAGGCACCAGGCATGGGGCCGTCAGGTAAGGCCTTTCTCACCCAGCACTCGTCTCGCCTCCCCTTTGAAACTGGAAGTGCTGAAACTTCTCAGGCTGTTGCTTCCAAAGTCTTCCTCCAAATGGAAGATAACATTGCCTGTGGCATTAGGCAGCCACTGCCCCCACGGCAAAGCTTTGGGTTTACTTAAAAAAAAATGCCCCTGCTGCCCCTTGCCAAGGCATGCCTGACCCTGGCTCGCTGCTTGCCTGATGCTGCAAAGGTCTTGTAGCTGGCTCCTTCCTGTGTGAGGCATGGCAGCTTGCCCCCGGGCTAGGCTTTGCAAATGGCACCCAGGGTGGAGTGTTGGGAGGTTGCATAGCAAATGAGACATCTGGATTCCTTGTCCACCTGGCCTTTCAGGTCAGAGGTGGAGAGGGCCTTGGGCTGATGGGGGGGGCAGGACCCCTGCCAGACCCTTCCCTGACTACTCCCGATTGCCTTCACTCCCCAGATCCTGGTTTTACTTTAGTGTGAGGGGAGGAGCCCCAGGCAAGCTGATCAAGATCCACATTGTGAACATGAACAAGCAGACCAAGCTGTACTCGCAGGGGATGGCCCCCTTGGTCAAGACGGTGCCCATCAGGCCTCGTTGGGAGCGCATCCGCGAGCGGCCCGCCTTCGAGGTATCTCTTGGGGAAGGACATTGGACTGGTGTGGGCACGGCCTCTGAAAGCAGCGTGTCACGGGGAAGGGCTTGGCTTTCCCTTGTGGGGAGGACGTGAATCTCTGTGAGGCGAGACCAGCTTTGGGCTGCAAATGGCTGGAGAAGGAGGGGATCAAGGGGGTTTCCAGGCTCCCGTCAGTGGAGTTCTGACATTTTGGCTCCCCTGCCTCCTTCCATCGTCCTTCCAAGGGACCAGAAAGTCGTTTCCTTGCCTGCTTCTCCCTTGCCAAGAGTCGACTGCCTGCTTGGTTTGATTTCAGGCTGTTCTGCTCGGTCACATAGACGTGCTTGTGTTTATTTGTGTGAGAAAAAGCACGCGAGCTGCCCAGAAAGATGAGCTAGACTCCAGGTTATGTATGCCAGGCTTCCGTTGGGCTCCCTACAGTCATGCTAGGGAGCAACGGCATGACCCTGAGGCTGGCACCGAGGGCAGCCCCTGGCCTACACCATCCTCCTAACAAGAGTCCTGGATGTCAGCCAGGATCATTCCCCTCTTTGCCTCCTTTCCCTGGCCCCTTGAATGGCCTCTGAGCAGCGAAATGACCCTCTCCCCACAACAGGCTTTGTTATGACCCTGCCACAAAAGTGTAGGGCAGAGTGCTGAAGGTCAGGAGACCTGGCAGGTGGGCTGTGAACATGGCGTCCATTGCCAGGTATCCAATTCAGGTCGTGGCAGAGAGCAAAGACTCTTCAGCCCAGCCCTGAACAACAGCAGGCTGCGTCTGTTGATTGATGTCTGTCGTGCTCCAGCCACAAGGATTATGCCTGGGCAGTGGCCACTCAGTGCCCGTTTTGCCTTTCTTTTCCCCGTACAGATGGTGGAAACCCAGTTTGTCCTCTCTTTTGTGCACCGCTTCCTGGACTGCCGAGGTGCCACCACCTTCTTTGCCTTCTGCTACCCCTTCTCATACACAGAGTGCCAGGAAATGTTGGCACAGCTGGATGCCCACTTTGCAGAGTGCAGGCACCTCTCTGCTAGCAGGTGAGCCTGGCCTCTGACACATGGCTGCCATCCTCCTCTCTGCCCCCCAACCCACTTGGTCACTGCACACCGGCTCCTGCGAAGTTGGCCAAACTCCTTAGGTGGGGAAGAGTTGGGGTGTTGCCAGGGAGGTTACTGGGGTGCCCTGAGATAGGTCCTTTGTTGGACTGTGGGTCTCTCCCAGGGTTCTGTGTCATGGCAAAGATCCTAGCGGGGACTCTCTGTCTCCCTTTTGGTGCAGCCTCTGGCACTGCCTGGAACACTTGGCTCCTTTCCCACCTGTGCTTGTTTGCAGTTCCTTGGTAACCGTCCCCAGGAACTCCCTTTGGCCCTTTCCCTCCTAGCTCCCTGCCCCCCCCCTTGCTCCTTGAGGCGTTTCCAAAGTAAAGGAAGGATTGAACTCTGATTAATAAGAATACACACAGAGGCTTGAACCAGCAAGACTCTGGGAAGGGTGCCTATAATAATCTCTGCCCCTCTACCCTTGGCCCAGGTCGTTTTATTCACAAAAGAACTTTTTACAGAGTGTTCGTAAGAACCAATCAGATCTCTTCTGAGCATTTCAACAAACCCCACGTGGGGACAGAGTTAAACTACCGAAACTAATTAAGCATGGGCTAAATAAAACAGAACTACAAAGGAGTGCATTTGGCAACCCTGGGAGGTGATAAACAAGCAATATACATGATAAGAAGGATGGCCAGGAAGACAGCGATCATTATCACCTTCAGGTGAGATCTGTTTCCTGGCCCTAAGATTAACATCCTAAGATTAACATATCAGAAAAGCTACATCAAAGAAACTGCCCACTGTCTCTGATGACCCAGGATGCCTGCCTGGCGAAGCAACTGGCAGTGTACGTGACTGGTCAAGAAAGAGAAAAGGAACAGGGATGCAGAGGTGTGGATTGGTCAAGAATCATATCAAAATAGTTTAGACCCAGTCAACACAATGCTTTCATTGCTGACACAGATGGCTTACTCTATATTTGTTATAATTCCTCATAGCAATCCCACCTGATCACTACACTACTGAAAGTGCTCAGGGGACAGAGCGGCTTTTGCACAAACGCCGCCTTATTTCTGCTGGTTTCTGCTGTGTTGCCTTTCCCCCAGCTGGCTGTTGTTTGAAGATGTGTTTTGTTGTATGTTGTGCTATGTTGTTCAGGATGCTTTCTTTAATGAGAGAAGGGGGCTCTGAATGCTTTCCACAAAAGTGGAGCCTGCAGGAGCCCTCCTGGGCTGAGGCTGGGCAGGGCTCTTCTTGACCAGCTGCTTTCCTTTGGGCTCTGTTGGCACCTCCTGCCTTGGCAGCACTTGCGGGCAGAAGAATAGCCCTCCTGGGAAAGGGCCTCTCCAGTCCAGAAATGGCTAGCCAGAGCCTCCTTGGCAGCCTGGATGCAGGGCATGAATGGAACAGCCATTGCTGGGTGGTGTGAGGGACACGGCTGCTTCCGAGCAGTGCAGATTTCTTCCTTAGTTATCTGAGCTCACTCCATGACCTGGTCAAGTCCAAAGGAGTATTCCTTGGGCGAAATGAGCATTGCATGAAGGAAGGTCTGCTCAGCCTGAGCGAAGGGGCTGCTGGGGCCTGCCAGCTGCCTGCCCTTCTATATCTGCAGTGGCCTCTGCTAGCCTAGCGGCAAGAAGCCAGAGTGACAGCTGCAGGGCCCTGTCTAGACAGACTGGCTGGCGAGGCTGGGGACTCTGCCCCTTTGCCAGCCTGCCAGCCTTGGGCATTTGCACTTCCTATGTTGCTCTCCAAGATACCTGGCATGGGCAGGGACCCAAGGGCAAGGCTGGTCTGAATGGGAAAAGGATCCCCATCCCCCTGTTCCCGCCTTCTCACCTGAGGCTGCCTTGGTCAGGTTCGGGGAGGGGAAGAGGCTCCTTTGGTCTGCTGTTGTTGAGGGAGGCAGGGTTGTGGAGTCAGAACCAGTGAAAGGGGTGGGGTGGAGGGTCAGGAGAAGGCAGGAAGACCCTCCCTTCCCATCTAAACCCATGTCCACCATTATAGCACAGTCAGTCGAAAGGCAGGTGCGGACTCTCGGAAGGCGGAGGGGAAGCCGCGACCCACCGCCCACAGAGCGAGGAAATGCCCTAAAGGAGGACGCTCAAAGGGGAGGAAGGAGGCCCCGCTTCGGGGGACACCGTAAGTGCTTGCTTTGGTTCCCTCGCAAGGTCCAGGTGGCCCCACTGACAGGAGAGGGGAGCCTCAGGCGCAAAGTCAGGCTGCCTTGAGGTCCCTTCTGGACAAGAGCCTGGCTTTCCAGGGGGAGAAGAGGACAGAAAGCTCTGGCCGCCTCCCTCATCACAGGAGTGAGGGAAGGAGCACAAGGGAGGATCCTTGGGATCTTGGAGTGGGAATCAGATCATGGGTGGGAAAGAAGAGGCTTCCTTGCATGCTGGGCAGGCAAAGGGGAGTCTGTGGGAAAGAAACTTTAAGAAAAGAAAGAGACTTTAGAAGCAAATCTTCCTTCTGGCCTTGCAGGGCATGGCTGGCTGGGAAACAAGCTGTCTGCTCTGCTCTCTACCTGCAGCTCCCTGGACTCCATCTACTACCACCGGGAGCTGCTGTGCTACTCCCTGGACAAGCTGCGCGTGGACCTGCTCACCATCAGCTCCTTCCACGGTCTGCGGGAGGAGAGGGAGGCCCGCCTGGAGAAGCTCTTCCCGGACAAGCACACCCCCCGGCCCCACAGCTTCGTGGGGAAGAGAGTGAGTTGGCTGCTGCTGCCCCCGTTGGGCAGGATCCCCCGCCATTGCTGGTGCCCACGTGGGGAGCATAGGGCTTGGGCAGCGTGGCCTGCCCTTGTTTCTGGAAGCCCTTTTGGCCCACATTGCCTCAGGCAGGCACCTCAACGCCATCCTTCCTGGTTTGCCTCTTGAGCATCTTCCTCTATGCCTGTGCTTTTCTCTGTAGCCACTACCCCAGTTTCACCCACCCACCCTTTCCGATTTCTGCCTCCTTCCTGCTCTGTGTTGGCTCATCATGCCTCAGCGTATCCCATGACAGTTTCTGCTTCTGGCTCCTAGGTCTTTGTTCCTTCCCTGTTCTCTCTCTGTCTTCCTGACCATCCATATGTCTTCCTCCTCATAGAATCATAGAGTTGGAATAGACCACAAGGGCCATCGAGTCCAACCCCCTGCCAAGCAGGAAACACCATCAGAGCACTCCTGACATATGGTTGTCAAGCCTCTGCTTAAAGACCTCCAAAGAAGGAGACTCCACCACACTCCTGGGCAGCAAATTCCACTGTCAAACAGCTCTTACTGTCAGGAAGTTCTTCCTAATGTTGAGGTGGAATCTTCTTTCTTGTAGTTTGGATCCATTGCTCCGTGTCCGCTTCTCTGGAGCAGCAGAAAACAACCTTTCTCCCTCCTCTATATGACATCCTTTTCTATATTTGAACATGGCTATCATATCACCCCTTAACCTCCTCTTCTCCAGGCTAAACATGCCCAGCTCCCTTAGATGTTCCTCATAAGGCATCGTTTCCAGGCCTTTGACCATTTTGGTTGCCCTCCTCTGGACACGTTCCAGTTTGTCAGTGTCCTTCTTGAACTGTGGTGCCCAGAACTGGACACAGTACTCCAGGTGAGGTCTGACCAGAGCAGAATACAGTGGCACTATTACTTCCCTTGATCTAGATGCTATACTCCTATTGATGCAGCCCAGAATTGCATTGGCTTTTTTAGCTGCCGCGTCACACTGTTGGCTCATGTCAAGTTTGTGGTCAACCAAGACTCCTAGATCCTTTTCACATGTACTGCTCTCAAGCCAGGTGTCACCCATCTTGTATTTGTGCCTCTCATCTCCTCCTGCCATCCTCTTGCCTTCCTCCTGATCTGTGCCATCCCCAGCTCTGCTCTTCTTAAACAGAGCACAGAAAACCCCTTTTAAAGCTGCCTCTCCCAAGTTCGGATCTGCCAGTCTCCCGCTTTTTCTTTCCTTCTGCTTCTCTTCTCCCTTTCTTTTGGGTGAGGCTGCAGGCAGGAGTGAGTGCCTTCTAACTGATGCCTGGGGATAACTAGTTCCAAAGTGGGGTGGAAATAAATGACCACACAAGCAGATGGGTGGGCAGGAGGCCTGTTGTGGTAGCTTTGAGAGGAGCAAGAGTCCTTGCGGAGACCCCGGAAGATGTCCAGTTTGGGAAAGGAGCAGATCATCCTCCCCCCCTCTCTCTCTCTTTGTGCCCCCACTGCCCTAGCAGGTGTTCTTCCTAAGCAGCAGGGTGCACCCGGGAGAGACACCCTCCAGCTTCGTCTTCAACGGCTTCCTGGAGTTCATCCTCCGTGAAGAGGACCCTCGGGCCCAGATGCTGCGCCGCATGTTTGTCTTCAAGCTCATCCCCATGCTGAACCCGGACGGAGTGGTGCGGGGCCATTACCGGTGAGTAAAGCCAGCATAAACACAGAGGGGTGGCCAGCCCCAGCTCAAGTCCCAGGCTGGTGGGACAGATCCCTCTAGGAAGCCTCTGTCGCTGCAGACTCATGCTAGGTGAAGGCTGGGCGAAGGCAACTGGCCAGTTCAGTTGGCCTGGAGAGAGACACTCCTTGGGTGGGGGGTTCCTCTCCCACCCCCCAACCCATCTCAAGGGAGCTGGTGGTGGCTGGTGCTTGACTCTTCCTGCCTGAGACACCCAAGCGACAGTACCCAGGAGGAAGGCGTCTTTGCCCAGCGTGGCTGACCCCTCTGGCTCCTCCTCTTCCCCACAGGACAGATTCCCGCGGCGTGAACCTCAACCGCCAGTATCTGAACCCTGACGTTGATCTGCACCCGGCCGTCTACGGGGCCAAGGCCGTCATGCTCTATCACCACGTCCATAACCGCGTCCAGCCAGGCTCACCCGACTGGCGCGCCTGCGTCCCTCCCCTCGGCACCAAGGCTGCCAACCAGCGCTCCACCCGCAACTGCCCTCCCAGCGAGGAGGCCCCCCTCTCAGAGCTGGAGAAGGCCAACAACCTTCGCAACTGTCCCAGGGATGCTGGCGCCCCCTCGCCTCAGGACCACGAGCCCTCAGAGGCACCAGGGAGCAAGGACCAGGATGTCTGGATCCTCTCGGAAGACCTGCCTCCCACGCTCTGTGAGGAGAAAGCCGAGGTCCGCTCTCCTCCCGCCCCGGAAGCCATCCCACCGCAGCAGAGTGGCCTGGCCTACTACGTCGACCTGCATGGTCACGCCTCCAAGAGAGGCTGCTTCATGTACGGGAACAACATCTTTGAAGAGGCTCACCAGGTGAGGAGGAAGGGGAGAGCAGCCAGAGGTCCGTGAGTCCACAGTGGGCAAGAAGGGGATGGGGGGACGACCCACAGTCCCAGGCTTGAAGTGTTTGAAGATCCCCCTTCCAAGTCCAGCCAAGGCTCTAGTGCCTCTGAAAGAGCAACAGCTACTGCTGCTGTGCTTTTTTCTCTGATTTCTAGGCGCAATCTGGGAGGCCATTGCAGACTTCCTCCCCTTCTTGGGTGTCTCCATTTGGTCTGCTGAGCCTCAGCCTTTTCCTCTCCTGGTCTCTATCATTTGCTGCCTGCGATCCCAACTCCATCAGCTGCATTGCGCATGCCCAGCCAGCTGTTGTGTTGGCCTTGTGGCAGGAGGCTGAGCTGGGCTGGAGAGGGGCAGCTGCCTGCTGGGGGTGGCTGCTTAGTAGCACTGGGGACTCTGCTGGAGCTAGTTGCATTGGGTGAGCTCAGCTCGCTATGCCTGAGCGTAGGTGAGAAACGGCAGCTGCAACCTCTCTGGTTGATCTCGCAGGTTGAAAACATGCTCTTCCCCAAGCTCATCGCCATGAACTCTGCTCACTTTGATTTCACGGGCTGCAACTTCTCCGAGAAGAACATGTACGCCAAGGACAAGCGGGACGGGCAGTCGAAGGAGGGCAGCGGGCGCGTGGCCATCTACAAGGCCTTGGGCATCATTCACAGGTGAGCAGAGGACACAGCCTCACCGACAGACCAGCCACTTATGCCTTCTGCTCCGCACCTGCCTTCAGACAGCTTCAGAATATGAAAGATTCTGCCTCCGTAAAGAGAGACCCCTTCTAGATCAGCTCAGAGCTGATTTGGACCATGGAATAAATACGGTCGGGAGCATCAGTCCCCACCTCCTGTGAGAGCCGGAGGCAGGCGGGGAGAGTTGGGTGGCCAAAGTAGTTTTGCATCCATAGTGGCAGTGCTGGCTGAGGGCAGGAGTGCTGGATGAGGCCCAGTTTATTGTGGATCGGAGTCTGCATTTGGGCAGAGGTAGTGTGTGTTGGTTAGGGTGGTTATAGTCTGATCGGTCTTTCTGGCATGGGGGCAGCCGGGACTCCTCCTCCTTGGTCAAAAGTTAGCCCTCTTCCCCTCCACCGTTAAGGCCTGATACTTGGTGGTTCCTAAACCCTGCCAGGTGGAAATGTCTTTTATCCTACCAGGCTGCTTCTTGGTGTGGGATCAGTTTTAAAAAGGGAGGGAGCCTGTGGTGAGCATGTCAGTGGAGCTGGGTGTCCACAGGAACACGTTTTATTGATAACATTCACAAGAATTGAACTGCTGTCTTTTAAACTGTGTGTGTTTTTGTAAGACGCGTAGAGACGTTTGCAGGAGGCAACCTATAACCCCTCTGTTCCTTCTAGCTACACGCTGGAGTGCAATTACAACACGGGACGGTCTGTCAACGCAGTTCCAGCCGCTTGTCACGATAACGGGCGGGCAACCCCCCCTCCTCTGCCAGCATTCCCCTCCAAATACACAGTGGAGCTCTTTGAGCAGGTATCAGCCTCCCTCCCCCTTTATTAGATGAGCTATGTGCGGGGGTCAGTGGGTGCCTAATTCCAGGGACTTGCCCCCGGGGCGGATGGGGCCTCCTTGAGTGGTTTTGGTCAGGCGAAAGAAAAAGCAGCAGCAAGTCTTCCTCTCCTCGTTGCCTGCGAGAGCCGTGATTGTGCCTGGGGCCTCACAGTGCTCAGGGCTTCCTGGTGTCTCTCTCCCTGTGGTGTAGTGGTTAAGAGCGGTAGTCACGTAATCTGGGTAACCGGGTTCGCGTCTCCGCTCCTCCACATGCAGCTGCTGGGTGACCTTGGGCCAGTCACACTTCTTTGAAGTCTCTCAGCCCCACTCACCTCACAGAGTGTTTGTTGTGGGGGAGGAAGGGAAAGGAGATTGTTAGCCGCTTTGAGACTCCTTTAGGTAGTGATAAAGCGGGATATCAAATCCAAACTCTTCTTCTTCTTCTTCCCTGTGCCCAGGTGGGAAGGGCCTTGGCCATCGCAGCGCTGGACATGGCCGAATGCAACCCCTGGCCCCGGATCGTCCTTTCTGAACACAGCTGCCTTAGCAACCTCCGTGCCTGGATGATGAAGCATGTGCGCAGCATGAGGGGCGTGGCCGGCTGCTCCCGGAGGAAGGGGGCCAAGACTCCTCCCAAGGGGACCAAGTACGGAGGCCGGGGCTGGGGAGAGGCCGGTGGGGTGACGCCAGGGCTCCCAGGGTCCCTTCCGACAGGCCTTCCTGCTCTAGCCAGGATGCAGATCTCCGCCTATGTCCCACAAGCCCCTGGGGCCCTGCTGCTCTTCTGCGCCTGCTGCCACCAAAGCCTCTTCCTCCTGGTCCCATCGAAGGCTCAGGAGGAGGAGAACCAGAGCTGACCTTTTGCCAAGCAGGCAGTAGAGCAGGCAGAAGCCCCTCTCCCCAGAAGATTGTCGTAGAATCATGGGATTGTAGAGTTGGAAGGGATCCCAGGGGCCATCTAGTCCAACCCCCTGCAGTGCAGGAATTACTGTACTGCTAAATCTCATTTTTGGGTGGCCTACTCAGTCACCTTCAGGTTGCAAGGCTTGAAACAGCAGTTTTCAAAAGGGACGGGTGTGTCTTAGCATGGAGGGGGCAGGCTTGGTCTGAAGGCTAGCACTCGATCCCAGTCAGATTTTGCAGAAAGAAGCCTCCTTTTCCCTAGCCTTGGTTCCCCGTGGTTGGTTTCAGCAGGGGTCAAAGAGGGCCCATTTTACTCTTTTGGAACCAGCGTGGGATAAATGCCCCCAACCACAGGGACGGCTGGCAATATGCAACTGCGTGGATTTAAATATCGGAGGGGAAGGGAGAGAACGCGCATTTGTGCCCAGTGCCCACGTACTTCTTTCCAGCAGGATAGAGGGACTGAGAGGCTAAAGGGTAGATCTTGAGGAGGGATGGTGTCATGTTGCAAGACAGAGTCAGTGATGGAGGCCTGGGGGGGGGAATGGGAATCCCCACCTGTGCCCCTATTCAGACACCTTGAGAAATGAAGCCTGGTGCGTCAGAGGCTGCCTCTTCCTGGGCCACCTCGCAGGGCGGGCGCGCTGGGTTTCTGCCCCGGCGGTGACGCCTCCCTTTGGCCTTCCCTCCCAGCGGGGTCTCTGCCTCCAGCTCCGAGAACTCCCTCTGCCGGGGCCGCAGCTTCAGCAACGGGAGCAGCAGCAACCAGCAGGCGGCGTCCCCGCAGGTCAAGACCTCACCCAGCTTCACCTTCAGCTGCTCCCACCCCGACGGCCCCCTGGGCATGGGCCAGGGCCCCCCGAAAGGTGCCTCGAGGGTGCTGGCGCTCGTGCGAGGTAAGCTCTGCGGAGGATCCGTGCTGGGCGCAATCCGGAGGATCTGGGAGTGGCTGCGCTGGCAGAAGTGACGGCCTTGCAAGAACCTCGCCTTTTCTCTTTCTGTCTCCCTCCCTCCCTCTTTCTCGTGAAATAAAAGTGTTCCACAATAGATCCCAGTCATCCTGTGAGAGCTGGCCCCCAGTCAACCCGAGCCCCCCGCCCTGCTCTCTGAACCGAGGGGAACCCCAGGCTTCAGGGGACCTGTGGGGGTCTTATGTAGAGCGCTGGGCAGAGGCCTGTGCTGCTGCTGCTGCTGCTGCTGCTGGTGGCGCTACTCCTGAGGAAGCGGCAGGTGAGCTGGTCCTGCAGGGAAGGAGGGAGCTCTCCAGCAGCAGGGCGCCTGCTAGGGAGGGGGGCGTTTCTCCAGGCCAGGCACCGTGTGGCCACGTTCCTCTCCCACGCTTCCTGCAAGAAGCTCAGGGTGCTTCCATGAGGCGAGGCGAAGCCGTTTGCCTTGGGCTCCCTGCCGTTGCACCACTGCCAGCCCCACCTGCACCAACGCCCCCTTGCCACCCCGGCTACTGCTGCATTGTGGCACTGCGGCTGCCACGGCAGGTGAGGGTGCAATGGCAGGGGCAGGGAGGGGGGCAGTGGTGTTGAGCATTTTGCCCACAAAAACATCCTGGGCCACCCCTGGCCTTTGGGGTCCTTTGTAGCCCTGTGAGTCAGATTAAGCCAAGAGTAATTTGATTGAGGCTGCCCAGTGAGCTGCTTTGTGCCCAGGCAAAGATGAGAGCCTCTCCCTGCCAAGGCCCAACCGTCCTCCATCACCAGCTCTGCTGCCTCCAAGGTGACCCAGCCAGCTGCCCCCGTGGATTAGCTGCCTCCCTCCCTCCCTCCCTCCCTCCCTCAGTCGAGGAGATCAGCCGGGGGTCAGTTGGGCTGATAGAGCACCATCAGGCAAGTGCCACCTTGAGAAGAAGATGATGGTGTGCTGAGAAATGACCTGGGCAAAGCACAGGCAGGCAGCTGAGTGTGGCTTCAGCAGCCCTAGCGCTGCTGCAGAGATGCCCCTCCCTCTTTCCTCCTCCTCCTCCTCCTGCTGCTGAAGGAAGGATAGAGATAGCCTGGATAGAGAGAGAGAGAGATATAATGCAGTCGCTGAATGCATTAAGGGATTGTGGGATTTGTGCCCCCACCCCCACCCCAAGGAAAGCTTCCGGTTTGGGAGTGTATCAGGAGGGGCGGGGCTCACCACCTTGTAGCTCTGCAGGTGCAGCAACCTGCTGCTGTTCCCTGCCTCCCCCACAAAACGGGCTTCTCCCTGGGCTGAGGTTGGAGGCCCTCAAAAGGCCACATCGCCCCAGCCAAGCCGCTGCCTCTCCCCACTGCTGCCCCCGTTCTCGGTGGTGTGGTGCCCGACAGCCCTCCAGAATTGGCTGCCACTGTGCAGGCGCTTTGGGCTCCCTTGGGGCAGCAGATAGTGGCACAGATCTGCCCCCCTCCCCAAGTGAACGGAACAGCCGTGTTCTCAAGAACTGGTCTTTGTTGGAGACAAGAGAATGGATTTCCCCCACCCCGGCTTCTTCTGGGCAAAATGTGTTCAAGCCCTGCGAAGGAGGGGAGGTGCACGATGGGGCCACCCCGCTGCCCCCTCGCAGAACTCGGCTTTGCCTTGTCCTTTCTCCCTGCTCAGACTCGCGCGTCCAGGAGAAGCGCCGTCACCAGCACCAGTCCTTGCTGCGAGCAGCAGTGAGCAACATCCAGGCGCCCCCACCTCTCTCTTCTTCCACCAGGACGGCCTCTCACCTCCAGCTGCCGACCGGCCTCGGCTCCTGCCCCCTCCCAGCCACCCTCAACATGACAGGTGCGTCTTCCTTCGTTCAACCCAGCCTGACTAAAGGCCGCCTTGGCAACACAAGTGTGAGCCCCTTGGCTGCTGGAGCAAGCCCGGGGCAGAGGCCGGCATGCCACTCAAAAACTGGCCCCTTCCTGCCAGTTCTCAGGTGCCGCCAATGCCTGAGTCAGGCGAGAGACGGAAGCAGCAGAAGCAGGGAACTTCTTGCCTTCCTTTCTCCTACCAAAAGTCCCCAGTCAGATGGGAGGTGGTGAGGCCTGCGGATGGTGCATCTTCTCTGTTGCTTCTCCAGGGGGCAAGACTAGGACCTGCAGGGTCTTCCTGGGAAGCAGATTTGAGCAGAGGGTCCCCACCCGAATCTCAGCATCACGTTTTGAGTGATTTCTTGTTAAGTGTGCCCCCTGCTTTTCACCTCATCTGGGTCTCATGCTGCTTTCAAAGTATTAAAATGTGTAATTTCTTCCGTGTCTCTTTCCAGTTGTAACCCTTTAAATATTTGTCAGTAAGTAACAGAGGGTTGAAGCTGCTTCTACTAAGGATTCTGGACAGAAGTTTGCATTGCTGCCCGGGGTGGGGGTGGGGGGTGGAACACGAGGGCACAAAGTAACTGAGAAAACCCAGCATTGCAACTGTATTCCGTGTTAGCGTGTAAAACTCAAGCCTTTCATTTTTTTTATCCTTTAAAAGGGGTGGCCAGTAGTGCAGTCAGATAATGTAAAACTTCAGACTTACTGGTTTTAGAAGAGGGGGCTCTTCAGAGAACGCCCTGCCCAAATGGCAGCAGGGGGAGGCGGCACATGCGACCCTCCAGATATTGCCAGATTCTGATCTCTCCTCAGCCCATGGCCTGGCATGATGGGAACTGCAGTCCAGCATCCCATGGAGGGCCACAGATTAGCCATACACACCAGTGTTTTCTATTCCCTTGCAAACTGACCCAGGGCAAGGGCCTTGGTGGGAGAGCCTTTTCTCAGGCTGGGGCAAAGGAGCAGAGATGGAGGCTCTGGGGCAGTTTTGGCACTGGGGGTGGGAGCCGCTCAGAAAAAGCCAGCAGCAGCTCCTGCCCCTGTATTTGGGGGGTGGGGGTGGCAGCAGGTCGGCAAGCCGGCTGTTTGACCCACTTTCGTCACTGAGGCCTGGAGGTGTTCCAGGTAGAGAAAGGGATGTGGCAGGCTCTCCTAAGAACAGCCTGCTGGATCAGGCCAGTGGCCCATCTAGTCTAGCATCCTGTTCTCGCAGTGGCCAACCCCTCAGCGGGGTCTGAGCCCAAGAGCCCTTTTCCCTCCTGTGGCTGTTCCAGCAAATGGTACTCAGAAGCATGGCTGCCTCTCTGGAGCTTGGCATTCAGCCTGAGCACTTTTGCTTTGGGCTTGGCTGATACTCGGAAGATTTGCTGACCTATAACAAGGGGAGTTCTCCATAATTTCCAGGGCTTTGGTTGAGGGTACAACCAGTCCTAGAGCCCTGTGGTACAGTCATACCTCGGGTTGAAATTGCTTCAGGTTGAGCATTTTCAGGTTGCGCTCCACGGCGACCCGGAAGTAACAGAACACTTTGCTTCTGGGTTTAGCCGCTCGTACACGTGCAGACGGTCAAAATGATGTCATGTGCATGCGCTGAAGCAGTGCATGCGCGGGTTGCGTTTGCTTCAGGATGCGGGCGGGGCTCCGGAACGGATCCCATTTGTATCCAGAGGTACCACTGTATATGCAAGGACCAGTGTTCTCAGGGGATCACCCCATCCTCCCTGACAAACCTTGGAGCTTGTGTTGCTGATGCCTGGAGGCTGGTTAGGCAGAGGACAGCGGAAATAAGGGCTACCATGGCCTGGCTAGTGGCCTCTCTCCTTGTGCTGTGGGGCAGCAGAACCCTTTGCCAGCCAGTCCTTGTAACCTCTTGCTGCCTCCAGGGATGTTCATCTCCCCCCCCCCCTCTCTCGTTGGTCACGCAGGGCCTGGCTGCAATGGGCTGCAGGAGGCAGAGCACCCCAGTGAGGAGCTGAAACCGCCTCCACCTTGTGGCCTAGCCTTGCTGCAGGTAAAGGGGCAGTGGTTAAATAGGTGGGGGGTGGGCTGGACTCAGCTCCTAGCTTGCAGCTGGACTGCGGCTCTGAGCCAGAAGTTATGGGCAGCAGTCCTCTTTTGCAACCAGAAAGCAACAGGCGGCGTGGGCCTTGATTTACCCCCCCCCCGCCACAAACTAAGGCTCCCTGTTGCCTGTGGCTGCTCCACTGCCCCACTGCTCATGGCAGCTCAAGCAAGCCAGGCATCCTCTGACTTCTCTTTCTTTGGCAGAATATTTCAAGGCGGCTGAACAGCGAGCAGCTCTCAGAGACACCCAGGTAATGGCTGCAAGACAGCAGACGGTGAAAGCACCGGGGGCGGGGGGTGGAGACTGCACTGACCCCCCCCCCTGCTGTGCTTGAGGTGGAACAGGCATGAGAGCGGGAAAACAGAGCCTGCCTCGGCCCTCTGGAAGTTTATCCCTCCCCAGGAAGCGAGGCAGACATTTGGGCTGCTGCTCAACATTTCCCAGTTCTCTCGCCTGAGTGGCTTGGCTGCTCAGCCCCCTCCTAGCCTCGCCTTCTCCCCACAGGCTGGAAATACTGATGCCTCGGCCGAGCCGGATCCCCATCCGCAGGAGACCGGCTGGACAGTCCCAGCATCTGCTCAGGCTCAGTGGATGCAGTGATGACTCCTCCCTCAAGGTGTGGAAATATGCCCCCTCACAGCTGCCAGCTCAGAGTTCCCTGCCAGGTAGGCTCCTCTGCTAAGTGCCCGGGGGGAGGAGGTGCCCTATGCCCATGCCTGCTGGACTTCCAGAGACGGCACCTTGGCAGGCTTCAGCTCCCTCACTTCCTGGGTCAGACAGCAGCATAAGACAAGCCTGCTGCTGGATCAGGCCTTCTGGTCCAGTGGCAACCAGATGCCTGTGAGAAGCCTCCAAGTTACAGAGCACGTCATTCTCCCTGCAAAGCACCTAATATGTGAGGTTGGTTGCCTAGTTATTAACCACTGACGGCTTATCCTCCATGAATTCCTACACACCCAACCAGTCACTGTCTTCCACAGGAGGGGACACCTGCAGAGATACTATTGCACCAGGAGGTCCAATCCGTAGTGTCAGAATTGGGCCTTCAGTGTAGCAGCATCAGCACCTTGGAACTCCCTGTCATATAACAGGCACATTTTCTTCCTTTTTTAACACAAGCCTTTCAAGTAGAGGCTTTTACTCCAGCTGGTATCTGTTTCAGAACTGAATGGATTTATATATGCATTTTTTTAAACTATTTTTCTGTGTGTAAGGTTTTTTATATATATGCAAGTGTTTTAGCTGTGTGTGTGTGTATGCACACACACACTTGTTCCGTTTCCTTTTACTGCATAGTAAACCACTTTGGGGTGCCTTGTAGAGAAGGAACCCATAAATGAAACAATTTGTCTAGTAGTCTCCTTTTAAAGCCACCTGCAATATAGGTGAACGTCACATTTTGTAGAAGTGAATTTAGTAGTTTCAATTACATCCTGTGGGGAAGTCCTTCCTATTGTTTCTCCTCAACCTGCTCTCCTGCAGTAGATTCATGACATTCGAAGGTTCTAGTATTAGGGAGTCGGGGGGGGCACTTTCTCCACATTATCCATTATTCCGTAAGCCTCTAACACAGGCATAGGCAAACTCGGCCCTCCAGATCATGGTAGGCAAACTAAGGCCCGGGGGCCAGATCACCTTCTAAATCCGGCCCGCAGAAAGTCCGGGAATCAGCGTGTTTTTACACGAGTAGAATGTGTCATTTTATATAAAGTGCATGTCTGGGTTATTTGGGGGGCATAGGAATTCATTCATATATATTTTTTTCAAACTATAGTCCGGCCCCCCACAAGGTCTGAGGGACAGGGGACAAGCCCCCTGCTGAAAAGGTTTGCTGACCCCTGCTCCAGATGTTTTGGGACTACAATTCCCATCATCCCTGACCACTGATCCTGTTAACTAGGGGTGATGGGAGTTGTAGTCCCAAAACATCTGGAGGGCTGAGTTTGCCTATGCCTGCTCTAACATGTCCCTCCTTAGAATGGGGGCTGCAAGTTCCCAGAGCTGATGAGGCTTTTAACTTATTCTAAACTTTCTATGGTATTACTGTACGGTTTTGTTTTATATTGTTGTAAATCGCTGCAGTATATTTGTGTGATACAGAGGTATATATATATTATAAAGAAAGTGGTATCCAGCATCATCTAGTCTAAGCAGCCCCTACTGATTCAGGAGTGCCACCCTGACAGCATCCCTAGCAGGCAGGCTGGGCCTCCCCCCCCCCCCCGCCCGCCTATCGACCAGCTAATTCCTGTTAGACTAACCTCCTGCGAAGCCTCCCTCCCGTGTTTCCGCCTTTTCCCCTAGTGGAGTTGCTCCTGCTGCTGATGCTCTGCTCTCCTTGCAGAGTTTCCGCTGGACGTTCCGGAGCTGACGGTCACGGGGGGTCAGAGGGAAGAGCCGCTATTTCTGTGCAAACCCCCCGACGTCTTGCTGGACGAGGTATGGCTCCCCTGCAGCCGCTGCCCTCCCCTAGAGCCCCCGCCCTGTAGGCCGAAGAGGAAGAAGAAGAAGCCGAAGCGCCTCCACCGCGGCGTAGGCAGCGGCCACCCTCCCCCTTGAAGCAGCTCGGGGGGGCAGCCTCGCCCCGACGGTGACGCCGCTCGCCTCCCCCCTGAGCCAGATCTCTCTGTTGCAGCACATCCCGGGGCAGGCAGATCCCCCCCAGCTCACCTACCACAAGATCCTGTCTTTCTGCACAGAGGCCTGATCCGCCAGGGGGGCCGGAGCAGCTGCGGCCCACCTGTTCCAGCACCTCCGCAGCCGCCCCGCAGCAGCGCGCCAGCGACACGCCGACGACACCGACGCCTCCCCCCGTGGTGCGCCAGAGACCGCCCGAGACACCCTCCCCGCTGGCGGCGTCCGGCGAGCGCCGGCCTCCCCCCAGCCCTCCCCCCCGCCCCTGCCCCTTCAAGCCCAAGCTGCTCTTTGGGACTCGCCAGCCCATGGTCCTGGCTCTGAGCCACCTCCCTGCCTACGAGGGGCCACTCTCTCCCGGCGGCGGCCAGCTACACAAGGCGCCGCCCAGGGCCTAGCTCGGGATCCATCTCCACTGCCTTGCGGACCAGCTGGCCTGGGAAGGAGCCCCTGGGAAAGACCAGCCTTGCCCCCCCCACCCGGCATTTCCCGCAGCAGCTGTGTACATAGTTGGTTACTGGCTCGGAAGCTATTTTTTGACAGATTTGTCTTGTGAACATGTTTCTATTAATAAATTTCGTTTGACAAAATGAAACAAAAAAGACAGCAACCGGCGGGTGTCATGGGCGGCGTCTGCAGGGGCCTTGTGGACTCAGAGGGGCGTCGGGGGGCACCGGTTGGGGGGGCGTCACTCCAGCCATGGCTCCCTGCTTGGTGGTGGTGGCGGCTCCTGAGGGTGGGAAGAGAAACGGGGAGAGGTGAGGCGGGGGGGGGTGCTTCTCGAGCTCACCTCTGCAGAGGAGACATCTTGGCCTCTTTCTCCGGCAGAGATTCAAGGAGCAAGCCTGACTCCTTTGCATTCCCAACTGAGCTAGAACTCAGAACTTCTTGCGGGGGCCAACTGGATGCCTGCGAGAAACCAGCAAGCGGGATTCGTGCCCAAGAGCGCTCTCCCCCCCCCGCCCCCGCCCGCCATGGTCTCCAACAGCTGGTTCTCGCAAGCCTGGCTGCCTGCAAGAGGGGAGGCAGAGAATTGCCTGGGCAGCCAGCGGCGTAGCGTGGGTTGTCAGCACCCGGGGCAAGGCAAGTAATTTGCGCCCCCTAACCCCTAACCTGCCGCCGCTGCCAGCTTCTTCTTGCTGCTGCCTGGGCTGGGGTATTTACGGTAAGGTAGCCACGGCGGCGGCGGCGGGTCCGTGTCAGGTGATCTGAGGCGAGTTGCCGCTGGCGCTGCAGCCCAAACGACACCGCTTGCCCGGAGGAGGAGGGGGGCAGAGAGGCGAGGAAAATGCAACATGGCCCAGCAGCTGCGGCGGCGGGGGGGCTGTGAGGAGGGGCTGCCTGGCGAGCCATCCGCGGCCCTGGCACGCGGGGACCGCGGCGAGCGCTGAGAGCCGCTGCCAGCTCGTCGGTTCCGCGAGACATGGGGCTCTGCTACAGCTTGCGCCCGAGGCTCTTCGGCGACTCCGGAGGCGGCGAGCGCGCCCCCCCCAGATGTTGCGCCCGGTGCGGCCGGCCCCCCCTGCACCCCCCACGCTACGCCACTGTGGGCAGCTATAGACTGTGATCACCCTCTGGCTATGAATTTGTCCCCCCCCTCCTGCCCCCCCCCATGGGTACCTGTCCTCCTGGTGCTGCTGCGGCTCCTCCGGGGCGTCACTCCTGCTTCTTGGGGTTGTTGACGGCCACGTAGTGGTAGAGGACGACCAGCAGGAAGAGCGAGACGCCCAGCATGTTGGCGAAGATGGCCAGCTGCACGTCCGTCACCATCCTGGGCAGGGGGGGGAGAGGGGGGGGGAGAGGGTCAGGCGAGCCAAGGGGGAGGGGAGGGGGCGGCGGAGGCCGAGTCTCCTCACCTGGCGGATCCCGATCCCTCCCTCGATCTCTCGCTCCGGCGCTGGCGGAGACACGTCTGCCCAGCTCCAGCCGCGGCGCCTGCTGGGAAGCGGGCCGGACGTCCGGCGACGCTCTGCCCCTCGCCAGCTCTATGCGGGCAGGGGACGCTCTAGGCCGGGCATGACTTGGGACTACAATTCCCATCATGCCTGACCGCTGGGGCTGTTAGCAAAGGGGTGATGGGAGTTGTAGGCCCAATAGCCCATGTTCTCGCTCTGCCCTCCGCTCTGGCCCTCGGCTACTCTATGCTCCGCCTCTCTCTTTCGCCCCCTGCGGGCAGAGCCTGGCAACGCTCTTCGTCTCCGCGCCGGGCGAAGGAAGCGCGGCTCTGGGGCGCCCCCTGGCGGAGGCGAGGGGCGGGAACTGGGCTCCCCGCCGCGCGCCCTTCCCGGCCCGGAGTCGCCCTCCCTCGCGCAGCCCATCGCCTTCCTGCACGGGAGGCCCGCCCCGCACATTCACACGTGACGCTCAGTCCGCGTGTCAGGCGTGCAAGGCGCTGCCCGGGCCGAAGAAGAGCGCCCAAGGGAGAGCCCAGGGCCTCTTGCAAGGAATGGCTCCGGGCACCGGCCTTCTGCCCGCAGGGCTGCCGCTCCTCCCTCGCATGGGCTCTGCTCCTTCGCTCCCTTCTGGACCCTGGGATGCCCCCCCCCCCTCTTCCCTGAGGTTTGGCAGGCAGGAGCTTCCGAGCCCCACATCAGAGCACCCCCCCCCCGCTGCTCTTGCTGGTCCTTCTGGCGGGGCTGACCCCGAATCCACCCTCGCCACCTCCCTCCCCTTCGGAGGGTGAGCTGCCTGCATTGCGAGGGCTGGACTAGATGGCCTTTGGGATCCCTTCCAACTGATGTTGTTTAGTTGTTTAGTGGTGTCCGCCTCTTTGTGACCCCCTGGACCAGAGCACGCCAGGCCCTCCTGTCTTCCACCGCCTCCCGCAGTTTGGTCAAACTCATGCTGGTAGGTTCGAGAACACTGTCCCACCATCTCGTCCTCTGTCGTCCCCTTCTCCTTGTGCCCTCCATCTTTCCCAACATCAGGGTCTTTTCCAGGGAGTCTTCTCTTCTCATGAGGTGGCCAAAGTCTCGGAGCCTCAGCTTCAGGATCTGTCCTTCCAGTGAGCACTCAGGGCTGATTTCCTTCAGAGTGGAGAGGTTTGATCTTCTTGCAGTCCATGGGACTCTCAAGAGTCTCCTCCAGCACCAGAATTCAAAAGCATCAATTCTTCGGTGATCAGCCTTCTTGATGGTCCAACTCTCACTTCCATACATCACTACTGGGAAAACCAGAGCTTGAACTATACGGACCTTCCAACTCTACATGTCTGTTATTCCAGGACCAGCAAGGGCAGCATTTTTTGCCCAAGAGGCGTGTGGGGGTCCCCAGCAAGGGGGGGGGTGAGGAGAGGAGCCCCTCGGTGTCCCATGGGGTCTCCATCCTGTCGCCTCTCATGCGCGTTTTCTCCAGACTAAACAGCTGCCAGGGCTGCAACCTTTGGCTGTAGGCTGGGCAAAGAAGGGCAACTGGTCCTGATGGAGAGCTTCTCTCGCTCCTCTGAGGCAGCGGACTCAGTGGGGAAGCAGCCCAAAGCCCCCCCATGACCTGCCTGGTCACTCTGGAGACGCCAGCCCCCCCTTGCCAGGTCCAGCCAGCGGCCGCCAACCCTACAGGCAGCTCAGCCTCTCCAGGCACCCAGCTGAAGACCCATTATGTCCATGGAGTTGTGAGTTTTAATGTGCTTAGTCTTGTTAAGGGAGAGATCTTAGGGCTCCCTTGCACAAAAAGCAAGGACCCCAGCCCGGAATACCAGAGCAAAAGAGCAGCCAGTCGGCTTGGTCTTGATTGAAGACTGTCGTGACAGGACTCCCACCTGCCACCAGGTGGAACAAGATGGAAGCCCCAATCAAAAGAGAACCCAAACTTTTATTAGCTGCAAATCCGCATGTTGGGACGCGGGTGGCGCTGTGGGTAAAAGCCTCAGCGCCTAGGACTTGCCGATCGCATGGTCAGCGGTTCGAATCCCCGCGGCGGGGTGCGCTCCCGTTGTTCGGTCCCAGCGCCTGCCAACCTAGCAGTTCGAAAGCACCCCCGGGTGCAAGTAGATAAATAGGGACCGCTTACCAGTGGGAAGGTAAACGGCGTTTCCATGTGCTGCGCTGGCTCGCCAGAGCAGCGATGTCACGCTGGCCACGTGACCCGGAAGTGTCTCCGGACAGCGCTGGCCCCCGGCCTCTTGAGTGAGATGGGCGCTCAACCCTAGAGTCTGTCAAGACTGGCCCGTACGGGCAGGGGTACCTTTACCTTTTAATCCCCATGTTACACCCCCCATACTACATCACTCATACATCATGGTTACATCATGAAAGGAGAGGTCTGGTGGCCGTAATCTGAGCACCCTGGACCCTGCCCCATGGTTCCCCTTGTTGTTGTTGTTGTTTAGTCGTTTAGTCGTGTCCGACTCTTCGTGACCCCATGGACCAGAGCACGCCAGGCACCTCTGTCCTCCACTACTTCCCGCAGTTTGGTCAGACTCATGCTGGTAACCTCGAAAACACTATCCAACCATCTCGTCCTCTGTCGCCCCCTTCTCCTTGTGCCCTCCATCTTTCCCAGCATCAGTGTCTTCTCCAGGGAGTCTTCTCTTCTCATGAGGTGGCCAAAGTACTGGAGCCTCAGCTTCACGATCTGTCCTTCCAGTGAGCACTCAGGGCTGATTTCCTTAAGAATGGATACCTTTGGTCTTCTTGCAGTCCATGGGACTCTCAAGAGTCTTCTCCAGCACCATAATTCAAAAGCATCAATTCTTCGGCGATCAGCCTTCTTGATGGTCCAGCTCTCACTTCCATACATCACTACTGGGAAAACCATGGCTTTAACTATACGGACCTTTGTTCCCCTTGGTTCCCCTTGCCCTCTACCAAACACCCATCAAGTGGAACAAAAGAGATATTTCCCTGTTTCCCAGCCAAGTTCATCCCACCCTTTTGTCTTCATCTGGGTTTGTTCTTTCTGGAATGGCTACCTGTCTGGCACTCAGGTATCAGGATGCCAGGGATTATCCCTCAGGCAGAGGGGCTGCTGAATAGCTGAGCTCACAGGTCTATAGGAATTTCTGAAGTTTCCCCAGTGAGCCAGTACAGAGATACATTGATCAGTGAATTCTTACATTTGGTATTGTGCAGCAAAGGCCCTTTGAATAGACAGGAAGAAACTGTGATGAAGTGTTTTGTGGGGACAAGTCACAAAAGTCACAAAAGTGATTGTGCTGATTTAGGTAGTGCATGATATCTGCTGGAGGGGCAACCCCTCCCCAAACTATACATAAATTCCTGCAACAGTCTTCATCTCAGGGTCATGGGTTCGAGTCCCACATTGGGCAAAAGATTCCTGCATTGCAGGGGGTTGGACTAGAGGACTCTTGGGGTCCCTTCCAAGTCAACAGTTCTATGGTTCTGTTATCAGTGACTCTAATGACAACTTTGTAAGCCTTCTTCTCCACAGCCTTCACTTTGGCTTGGCTTCCTTTGCACGTTTGCCCTGCAGATGTCAGCAACGTGCTAAAAAGGGTCTTTGCACAGGGCTTCCCCCCCCTCCCAGGGAGGAAGAGGCTCCGTGCAGGGACAGACTTGGCTCCCTCCTCCTCCTCCTCCTCTCAAAACTCCTCCAGTTCTGCTCAGGCTCCTTAGCAGCTGTTATTTACATAACAAAAAGCTTAACTGGTTTGGCCCTTGATTGAGTCTGGACCCCTGAATGGGCGCCTGGCTCCATCCTGTCTCAAGCGCCCGTGGATTATTTCATTCTTCCATCCACCACTTTTTACAAAAACAAGTTGGTTGGCTTGAAGAAAAAGCAACAAAAGAGTCAAAACAGTCACATCATATGGAATACTAAAAGCTAGGAAAAGACCCTTCTCCGCCTCAAGCGGAAGATCGAATCTCATCAAGGAGAGAGTAAGAATGTGTTTGCCTCAAAGCACCAGGTGAGCCTCCCAGGGGAAGAGCATCCCAAAGCCAAGGGGCCACCACTGGCAAGGCCTCTCCTCCCATTGGCAGCCTCTGCGCTTGCCTCCAAGGAAGACTATTGGGGAGGACAGTCTGGGGAGACACAGACCTTGTGATCCTGGGGTCCTGAACCTAATAATAATAATAATAATAATAATAATAATAATAATAATAATAATAATGTTTACCATATTTTTTGCTCTATAAGATGCACCAGACCACAAGACGCACCTAGTTTTTGGAGGAGGAAAACAAGAAAAAAAATATTCTGAATCTCAGAAGCCAGAACAGCAAGAGGGATCGCTGCGCAGTGAAAGCAGTAATCCCTCTTGCTGTTCTGGTTTCTGCGATAGCTGCACAGCCTGCATTCGCTCCATAAGACGCACACACATTTCCCCTTACTTTTTAGGAGGGGAAAAGTGAGTCTTACAGAGCAAAAAATATACCCTGCCTTCCCCAGCCAGAGCCAGGCTCAGGGCAGCTAGCACCAATAAAATCACAGCAAAAACATAATGAAGAGGCTCCATTGCAGCTATATCTGGAATTTGAGATCTGACTGATTTAAGTCTAACTTGCCCAGAGGGATGGGAGAGTTCTGGATCTGGCCCTTGGGCTGGATCCCTGTCCCTCTCACTGCTTTACAGCACCAAGCCCTTGCTCTGAGTTGGACCAGACCCCGACTGGCACTCATTGCAGACGGGCCAGAATTGGTGTTATCTGCTGGGGCTGCCTGATCCCAGAGACCCCACCTCCCAGAGACCCCCTCACTGCCAGCAAAGGCCTGCTCTTTATCTATGAAGGTTTCAGATGTGCTGGAAACCGCTTAGAGATTTAAACCACTTAAAACAACAAAAGCAGCGTATAAACTCTCTGAATAAATAAATGCAGGGCAGGAAACCCCCCCCCCCATCATTCAGTTTGTACAAACTTCACACACACTCACCCTCACACACTACATACGCTACGCTTCTGTTATAAATTCATAGAAAATCAACCATACATCGGATTTGCACTGTTCCATTTTTATTTTACTCCATATGACAAGGACTATCAAAGGGGGGTGGCTTGGTTCTGGTCAGCCATAATCCCTTC